GAAAATATCTAATAAGCCTGAGAAATCATGTTTAAGAAAAAAGATGAAAGCCTAGGTAGATCCATGACAGTAATAGCAGAAGTAGGTGGTGGTCATTACAAATATGATACCCTGGAGGAGGGATATCTGTATCAGGCTCAGAAGAAGGGTCAAGCATAATGAAAGACTCCATCTCCTCTCACACAATAGCCATCACCTCCTTAGCAGACAAACAGGAACTCAACATCATTGTAGTTGTTTTTCAGCATGAATAATGCCTTTCTGTTCCACACTAGACAAATAAAATTTCCAAATTAAACTTCCCACAAAAATGATTTTAATGTGTAAATACAATGAAAAAAGTGGATATTTTAATAACACTCATGAGTAAAAAAAGACAAATCTACACATACAAGAGCCAAATCAAGGAGTGACTACTGAACAATCAAGAAAGGTGGAGTCAGCTGCGCTAGGATAGTGTGTCACACTACTATTGGTATAGGGGTGTCACATGCTCATTTGCATGTAACAGGGCAGCAACATCACATGGACCTCAAGGCCAGTGGCAAGCAAAAAAGTTTGGATATAGAGGGCAGCACTGAATTGGCAAGTAGAGGCTACATATCATATCAAATATTATAATTTTCCTATACTGAAAATATATTTCTGACAGATACTTACCACTTCTTATATAAATAGCTATTCTTGTTCAGTGCTGCCCTCTATATGGAAAAATCTTTTGTGCATGCCACCTGTCTTGGAGCTCTCAAATCATCATGCGACAACATTCCACCGATAAGAGTGCAACATACTCTCTTGACGCACGTGACTCCCTCTATTCAATTCTACTGAACTACCACTTCAAGTTTTAGCAGAAAATGGAAGCACCGGTTTTCAGTGGGGAGGAACGGTGGGAAATGTGAAAGGTGGTAAGTACCTACAAGAAATATATTTTCAGTATAGGAAAATTATAACTTCTGATATGGTACATTACTTCTTCTTACATAAATAGCTAGAATCCCACATTGAACAGGTGGAGGACCCAGTGCAAGGGAAAGAGAAAAGCATCCGAGGGATAATCCTAAAAAAAGAGATCTTCGGAGTCTAAGACCATATGTGGGAGACCGCACCACTTCTGTACCAGGTATACTCTTCACCCAGTGTGGAAAAATTTGTTGCAGATATGGGCAGAAATAAAGAGTAGCACATTCAAATAATGAAAGAACTATGTTTGGGTAGGAATCTGAACCACAACATACACGAATCACAATCCCATAATTTATAAATGTGGATGAGAATAAAAGGATGTGCCTCCATGTGTAGAGTAACTAGGGTATGACAGAACATACATGGAAAGTCAACAACATCCAAAACCTAGATCGCCAGAAATCAACATCCACGTGGGGGTTGGATGAGGATCATACCATTGGTAAGTAAAAAACAATTCAAAACCTGGCCACCAGGAACTGATATCCATATGGGGGTAGGAAAATAGATCATACCATCTTCACCTTAAGTTCATAATAATATGAAATAAACATTAACTTATAAAATGAAATGAGTGTGTATTAACAATAACCTATGTATGAGACATGATGTATGGAAGAAAAACAATATAGTTATATGGATGATTGATATACCAGTAAGATAAATTACAGGTAATCCTAAAACAACAAAGACTCTTGGTATCAGTGATATAGGAGAAAGTATACAACTAAGCCTAATTTCTAACCTGAACTGAACTATGAGTATCAATCAAATTAACAAAACTTATGTTATAGAACTCAAATAACTAAAGATAAAAACATTGAAAATAAAATTATTCAAAAACCATAACAGTATAACATCTTATCTTTCCAAAGTCAGTGGACTGTATGTCAAAATATGTGGGCTCCCAAACTCAAGACAAGGCCTGAAGAAAGATTAGACGATCAATCTCCTGATGAAGCAAAGCCAAAAATCTTCTGTAGAGTACTGCTACCTGAAGCCTGTGTAAATGTGCTGATAGAACATACAACCTCCAAAGTGATAATGTAGAATTCATAATACAAAATGAATAACCAAACACAACTGTGTTGGCAAAAACAAATAAGTTTTGAAATGAAGTAATAAGTTCTGAAACCAAGTAGAAATATAAAATAATTCCACTTAGGAATAACTGAACAAGTTACAAATATCATTATTGTATAATAAAGAGTAAACTTATTGAAAGAAAATAATACAAAGATAAGGAAAAAATTTAAAATAAAACACTTGAAGAGAGCACAAACTAAAAGTTACAACATGAGTACTGCCAAATAAGAAGTGGTAGTTTGGTAGAATTGAATAAAATAAGAACTTCAAGGACTGTGGTATGTGCAAAAAAGTTTTGCATATAGAGGGCAGCACTGAATGAAAATGGTTATATATGTTAGAGGATGTAATGTACCATATGGAAGACTAGCTGGTGACTAGTAAGTCACTTTAGGATATTGTGGGTTTAAGCATCCAAGCCATAGCCTTTTTTGTTATTGTTCTTCAGTTTTTTGTAAAGCATTTTATCTACAATTTAGAAGCTAACTGAAGACTGATTTTAGACTAGCACCACAGTCATTCACTTGACTTACCACCAGTGGCATATTCAGAAATTTGAAAGGGGGGGGGGGCAAATCTTAACATTCATAATTGCATAATTTCTATTTATTTTTATTATATTTAAACTTTATTATTTCCTGGTGAAAATAAAAATACAAGCCAAAGGGAGGGCCATGCCTTCTTGTTTATTTTTTGGCACATCCTGTATTTGACCCAAACATTCTGATTTCTAGACTAAACTAAGATTTCTTTATTTCATTAAAATAACATAGTTTGCCATTTAAAAAAAAGATAATGTTACGCCTCCAGTCGTTAGTTAATTTTCCGTAAAGATTACGGTAGTAGATAGTCCAAACCTAATATGCATTCGTCTTCAATGTCAGCCAAGTATACTTTCTGCCTGTCCTTTATGCCCATGAGCTCACAGAATGTAGAATGTCCTGTCACAACATAAAGCTTCTGGTACTCCTTCGTGATCTAACACCTTGATGCTCACAAGGGTTTGCTGAGACGCAGAGTCTATGACAAAGTTGCACCTTTGGCCATCTAGCTTTCCTGTGTGTGCCTGGCATTTTACACCTAGCTGATGAGACTTTCACGATGGGGGTTGGCGAGTGTCCCTCAACACCAACCACTACTGGTCTCCTTGAGGATGACTTGTTGGTAATATTCCTCCTACACTGGTGCCTCAGATATCCTTGCTCCCCACAGTTCCAACAGCCTTTCTGGGTAGCAGCCTTTCCTGCTGTATCATCTCCCCTGTGTTGAAGTTGCCAGCAATGAGCTCTCTTGTGCCCAGGT